GATTTGTACTTATCTACCTCTAAATCATTTCCATTTCATTTATCCAAAACTTTGTTTGTACATAAACTCACCACCAATTTGATTTTTATTGGCCAACTTGTAGAGGAAGATAACAATGTCTTATTTACTTCTAATGGTTGCTTGATACAGGACCGACAAACTGGGGAGGTGAAGGGGATGGGGCGTAAACTGGGAAGAGTCTTTGCCTTGGAGTTTGAGAAGAATAAGACTGATTCTGTTTCTACTTCTTGTTTTCTTTCTACTACTTCTAGTTCTAGATCTTTTAATTGTAATAATGATTGACATTTGTGGCATAGACGCCTTGGCCATCCTTATTCTAAGAAACTTGATCAATTATTTGTTGTTGTTGTTTACCTATTTCTACTATTTCTTTTAAGAATGTGAATAAATATTGCATTACTTGTGGTTTATGTAAGGGTCATATTTTACCCTTTCCTTCTTATTCTTAGCATGCAACCGTTCCCTTTCATTTAATACATAGTGATATCTGGTCGTCTCCAGTTGTTTCATGGCTGGGGTATAAGTATTTTGTAACCACCATTGATGACTGCACTCGTTTTACTTGGGCTTATTTTCTTCGAAAGAAATCTGAAGTGTACAATGTTTTTAAACACTTTCACACTTATGTAATTACCCAATTTGATGCTCGAATTTGTATGCTAAGATCGGATTCAGGGGGAGAGTATATAGATGGGGATTTTTAGAACTACCAGAAACAACATGGAATTCAACCCCAAAAATCTTGTCTGGGTACCCCACAATAAAACGAGGTAGCAGAAAGGAAGAATGGGCACATCTTGAGTGTAGTCAGAACCCTTTTACAGGAATCCCATGTACCATCTTGGTTTGGAGTGGAGGTAGCCAGCACTGCTGTGTATCTCATAAATCATCTTCTATCATTTGTTTTGAATAACTCCTCTCCTTTTCAATCTCTTTTTCAAAAACCTCAAGACCTATCCATGCTCAAGGATCTTGGTTGTGCTTGTTTTGTCCACCTTCCACCCCATGAACACACAAAGTTAACTACACAAGCAGCATTGTGTGCCTTCATGGGATACAATTTTGAACATAAGGGGTTCATTTGCTATGACCCCTTGGTTCGTCGCCTTCGAATCTCTCGTAATGTAGTTTTTCTTGAAAGTATGTCCTTTTTTGAACATTTTGTGAAATTCCCATCTCCTTCTATTTTCTTGTTGCACAGTTTTGATTCTACAAGAACCTCAGATATTCCATTGTCACCCCCGCAGCAGCTTCAGACATACTTCAGGAAGCAATAGCCTTCTTTAGTCTCCATCCCCACCTCTGCTCCGCCTCCTGATCCAGTCACTCCAGCTCCCTCAGTAAGTGTACCTAACCTTCCTCCTAAACCCACTTTACATTGTTCCACTAGAATCTCTCGACCACCTAGCCGTTATGGTTATTCACCAGACCATAGCTCATTTTCTGCTATTTTATCTACCATAGACATTTCTAAATCTTACCAGTAGGCCATAGCAGAACCACACTGGAAAGATGCCATGGATTCTGAGATTCAAGCCCTTCTTGAGAATGACACCTAAGACCTAGTTCAAGCTCCACCAGAAGCCTGTCTCATGGGAAGTCAATGAATCTATTCTGTGAAACTGAAATCTGATGGAAGCCTAGACAAATATAAAGCCAGACTTGTTGCACAGGGATACAAGTAGGAATACGGAATAGACTTTGAGGAGACCTTTTCTCCTGTAGCTAAAATGACTACTATATGTCTTCTAATGGCCATATCTGCAGCCAAACAATGGACAATCCATCATATGGATGTCAAGAATGCTTTTCTTCATGGGGAGTTAAAAGAGACGGTCTATATGAAGCCCCCTCCAGGATACTGTACAGATCCGAAACTTGTTTGTCGTCTGAAGAAATCACTCTATGGCCTAAAGAAAGCCCCTAGGGCATGGTTTGAAAAGTTCAGATCCGTCATCGCCAATGCTGGCTTTACCTAGAATCCTTCCGATTATTCCTTCTTCATCTTAAGGAGAAAGAAGGGAGTAACAATATTACTCAACTATGTTGATGATATACTCATTACAAGGGATGATACTGAAGGAATTTCTTGGCTACAACAATTACTCAACGAATCCTTTAAGATGAAGGACTTGGGGCCTTTGACATATTTCTTCGGCCTTGAATTGAGCATAAATTCTCGATGATACTTTGTTAATCAACAGAAGTATGCGGCTGGCCTGGTTAAAGTGRAAAATCTTAGTGACTCTAAGATTGTGGACACTCCACTAGAACTGAACCCGAAACTCATCAAAGATGATGGATCGCCCCTTGAAGATCCTACCCTTTATCATCAACTTGTGGGAAGTCTAATCTATCTCACCATGGCTCGGCCAAACATATCTTATGCAATTCATATAGTAAGTCACCGGATTATAAGATATGTGTGAGGCACACTGTCACATGGGATATTCTTCTCCTCATCATCTCCCATTCATCTTATGGACTATGCGGATGCTAATTGGGTTGGATGCCCTAACACCCGACGATCCACTACTAGCTGGTGTGTCTTCCTAGGCACCCTTATCTCTTGGAAGTGCAAGAAACAAGCTTCTGTGTCCAAATCTTCCACTGAAACTGAATACAGGGCTATGTCTCTTCTGTGTGTAGTGAGATCATATGGTTTCGGGCTCTTCTATTTGAAATACTAAATGAATCATCATTGTTTGTTCCTCTTTATGCAGACAATATCAATGTAATAAAAATTGCATCCAACCCCGTCTTCCGTGAGCACACCATAGAATTTGATTGCCACTTCATTCGCGATCTCCATCTTGAGGGTACCATATCTCTTCCCCATGTCTCTTCCGGGCTTCAACTAGCAGACTTGTTGACTAAAGCAATGACACAGGCTCGACATCTGTTTCTCATGGATAAACTGATGCTTGTTCCTAGGCATCAATTTGAGGGGGAATGTAGAGACAGTGAAATCTAGTCGTAGGGCTATTTTTGTACTTTTACTTCTTTGTTGTATACCTATTCTTTATATTATCTCTCTCTTGTACATTAAGGGTAGATCTATCCTTTTACAACTTAATATAAATATATCTTTTAGGGTGTCGACTGACACAACGTGTCACACCCACCATTCAGTTGTTCTCTCTATGTTTGTCTCTCTTTCTCTAACTTTCGAACTGACTCAGACATGCATATTGGTATATTAATTGGATCATGGTCCATCTCCAGGTATGCAATCATCAAGATCAACTTGTAAAAACCAACCAGCACAATCGCTCTCTGTCATATTCAACACGTTCTCCAGATTTACCAAGAGATCTTAAGGGGATATCAGTTGCATTTCCATGATGGGCAACGAAGTTAATATCTGGATATTTCAAAAGTGTTCCCAAAGAACAATGGAGATACAGAAATGAGGTTTCAGTAGTGATGTTTATGAACAAAATGGGGATGTGCGATGAGGGTGAATAAATCCATGGAGATGAACTTTTTAATCGAATGATATTTTAAAGCTTCTACTCAAGCTCTTCATGGCTATCAATGTTTTCACAGCTCCGCAAATTTTACAAGAAGCCATTCAACGGCCAAAGTTATCATTTGTCAACATGCCATACAAGGCTCAAAGTTAATGAATTTTGTAAGAATATGTTATGTGCCTTGGGAGAATTCATTCCTAAAAGGTAGTTGTTAGAGAGAAGGAACCCAAGCACATATATACCCCACAACAGCATCTCATACTACCAATATGAGATACTTTACATCAGAGCAGAGCCAGGAATTTTTTTATGAGGGGGGCCAAAACTTATGGATGGGCCAACCATTAGGTGAAAAGTGAGGGGAGGGAACAATCTTACATATAAAAATGTATTGAGTGTGCAAATTTCTGGACCATAGGGGGGCCATGGCTCCCCTGGGTCCCCCCTAGCTCCACCCCTACTTCACATTAGCATCCCATACTACCAACATGGGACAAATGGACCATAACAGAATAGACAAGAAAGAAAGAGGGCAGTGGAGGTTGTGGAACCATTAATAGTGATTGGCGGGAGGGGATGGTAAGCAGAGACGTGGAGAGGGAGAAGAGAAAAGGGGCAAAAGAGGGTTTAGGGTTACAATTTACGAAGACATGAAAATTAATTTTCAAAACAAATAAATTTTCAAAAGTAAAATTTGTAATTAGTCTCAGTCTCACGGTTAGAGTGTCCGCACATGAGAAATCTGTTAGCGTGCAACGCTGAGGTGGAGATGTGTAATTGGTCCCACAGCCCGCTCAACGCTGTGAGGCGTTCAGCTAATCTGAACTCAAGAAATAACAAGTGAGAAATAAACAATTTCTAATTTGACATAAAATTAATACGGAAACTGACAAAAGGGTAAAACACATTGAATTGGGATCTACTCCTCACAGGCACATCCCACCGTGCATTGGGAACATTTGTCATAAATAATAACACATAAGTACGGGAAATGTTCTTAAATGTATGGTGGGATGTGCCTGTGCGGTCAGTGTGAGGCGCCATGTGTGAGGAGCATATCCTGTCTCAAACACATTGGCCTTCTAATTATTATATATGTTTCTGTGTGTTTTGCCCAGATCTGGTTTCAAACACATTGGCCTTCTAATTTTATGTCCATGACCTACTTATAAAATAAGTGAGCATAATTTCATAAGTTGGCTAAGACTTTAATCATATTTTTATTGGTTAACATCCTTGGGATTTGCTTAATAATAAAACTCAGGTCTAAAATCTCTAGTTCCTTCAAAGTAAGCTGGAAATATCATCTTCCAAAACGAATTTCTGCATTTGGAGAAAATGGATTACTCACTTGCAATGTATTAGATGCAGAAAAAGGGAATAAAATTGAAAATTTGAAATCATTAAATGATTCAGGCCCAAAAAAAAATCATAATTAAAAGAAAGAAACTAATATTATTCGTCTAGGAAGCTTAGTGATTTTTATCAGAAAATCCATGACTTGGCTATGTAAAACCACTTTGATCATTACTGAAAATTACTAATAAATTTTCTACAAGGAAAGCTTCTAACTTACAAGCTAGAAGGTAATTGTGGAAATGCATTATAGAAAGCAAGAAATGAAAAGGGATTGATCATTTCCAAAATGATTGAATTTGTAGAAGCTAAACAATGTAACATTCCATTTCATCAATGTTAGTATTAAATTTATTGGTTGTGAGCTCCCAAATCTATAGCATGCTTTTCCATTCAAGATCGCTTGCCCTGTGCTAGGCTAATACGCATTGTTCGCCCTTCCAGCTCCTACAAGCCCATGATAAAAGTAAATACTACAAAGAAATAGTAAGAGAACCAAAGCAAAGATTATTTGCAATTTTAAAATAATTTTCTCATTTTAGCGGGGAAAAAGATACCTGTAATTCAAGCAATCTTAAAAAATCTGTCCAGATATGTGTGTGTGTGTGTGAGAGAGAGAAAGAGAGAGAGAGAGTACCACTCCATTAAGATGTTCAAGCGCAGCTTCCATCTCTGGCTCTGATGAGTAGCATACAAAACCATAACCACGAGATCTACCTGTCTCTCCATCATATAGAACCCTTGCTCCAACCACATTTCCATATTCTTGGAACACTTTTGTCAAACTTTCAGATGTGACTGACCATGATAAGTTCCCAACAAAAAGCTTGTATTCACTTTCAGGATACAAAGATTCTCTAGGCCTTGGTTTGTCCGAGAAGTTCACCCGCAGTGTCCTCCCACAGTATTCCTGAAATCAAATATTTCATTCTGGTTGCATTTTCAGTCTAAGAACTTGGAATTTGGAAAGAAAGGAGCACTAAACAAATAAACAACATCCTAGAAACAAGTGAAATCTATAAACTTGATAAATAAGTATTTCATATACATATAGAAGTTACTAGAGGTATCACATAAAAGTGTTTATCTGAAAGCTTCTCAAATAAAAGTTGATATGGAAATTTATCTGAAAACATCTGTTTAGTTTTTAACAGATGATATAACCTTACTGAATGGAGGATAAGAATTATAATAGAGAGAGAGAGAGAGAGAGAGATTTCTTACACTTCCATCAAGATTTTCAATGACTCTGTTAGCATCCTCAATGTTGCTCATTGTGACAAACCCAAATCCTCTACTTTTTCCAGTATCCCTGTTGTAAAGCACCTAAAACCAAAACCATCTATGTTAGCCAGTTAAGATACGTATGGCATACCACCACATGTATATAGACACGATCTTGAGATTTAATGTCAATGTACTTTTTAGTAAGTTGTACCCACTTACATGGTAGAGACAGATATAAAGCTAGATAAGGAGGATAATGCGATAGCAGGGGGTTCCCTCAACCCATCTCCACCTAATATGCAACTCACAAATAAAGAGTTGACAAGTAACAGTCTGTAAAGGATTCCCCACCAAAACCATATTTTTCCTTGTATTGGAAAAAATTCCCCCATAGCATGGTGGGAATCTTACTTCCCCTTCCCCATGTAAACAATTTGACTGGAAAATGGAAAGCTCTGTTGGCAGTTTAATCCATTCCCTTGCCTTATGTGGGAACACCTCAAACACATCATGAACTGTTGGGGTTGCGGCCCACATGCAGAGAGGGTCTGGCAATTTGATTGGAATGACATTCCTTTGTTTAACACCATTGCTAACTGTGCACTAGCACCAACCATTTCTTGAACAGATCGACCATCAGTCCCCATCCATGCATAAACTGTCCAACAACTAGGGTTTGAGACGACTCCACTCAATAGGGTTCACAATGCCATCACCAGACTCTGTTTGATTGCATCTCCTCGTCCCTTTCTATTGGACAAAACATAGGAGGCTGAGGGAAACCTTGGAAGAAGAGTTATGCACAGTGTCTGTGCCTGGACATGGAAATGTATCCCCTCTTTCTTTCTCACAATCCAGTGAGGCTCTTCCATCTACCCTTTTAATAAGTTACCTCAGGTATCACATGGGCATGTCCTATAGCACAGATTGCACAAAAGCATCTGCTTGAGCCTTGAGAAAATGCCTTATACAATCTTCGGTTACAATACGAAACTACACTTTGACAAATATAAAGAAATGAGAAATCACATTTAGTAGAATAAAAAAAAAAAGGGTTGAAGGGATTGTACATGACAGTATCATTATTTGCCTTTCCCATGGTGTCTAAATAAACGAGCACAATAAGCTAAAAGAATGTCATCAATAGGATTATTTATTGATGAATCTGCAAAGGATTATTTATTGATGGGGACAGCACAATTAGGGAACGTCTAGGATTGGGAATAGCACATACCTCAACCATCTCTGGACTTCCATATTGTTGAATGATTCCAGCAAGTTGAGCACTGTCACAGCTATAAGGCAAATTACCAAAGTAAAGCTTAGTATTCACGGGATCCGTAGCCTCTCCTTCAGTAGAAACCTGTTCTACCTGTTCCTCTCCCTTCTCATCCCCTTCCTCCTCTACAGTCTCCGGTGCCGTTTGGATTGCCGCTGCTGCCTCTTCTTGTGCGACGGAAGCAGAGATCCTCGATATCCTCCATTTCTGAGACTGAGAGATCGCGCCGATAGAGAGCGAGTCGGTCGTGAGAGAGTGAGATATAGGGGCTACTTGCAATGTACGCGTAAGGGAAATTTTAAGTGCAAAATCGGAAGACGCGTACTTCGAACGGATGCATGAGGTAGCAGCCGTGGCAGTAGAGAAGCATGAACCAACGGTTGCTGCGGCCGCGGCAGCCATGTCGCCGGAAAGTGCAGTAGTGGTGGTTTTTTCTGTTAAGTGAAGGTGGTCGCTTTAGTGAAGAAAGAGAGACGAGAGATCGGTGCGTGCGTTATCTAAGATGATGTGGGGTCCTCCGTGTCCAATGAGAAGGGGAGTGATTTGAGGGATAAGGTTTATTTTCCACGTAGGAATTACTTCTCTCAAATATCAATATATGTGGTGTTGGGCTGTGGGCTCCGTTTGTGGCTCACTTTTTATCTACCAAAGGGCCCATTGGGTCTTCATCTGATCTAGGTAAACCCATTGTGCGGTACACACATATATCCCATCTATCTATCTGTCATAGGATTGGAATCATGAACCCCCAGACAACATCGAATGGGTAGAAGTGGCACCTTAGGTCCTTAGCATAGGGATTGTCATTTATCATGAATCTCATCTGATCGCATGTGGAGTACGGTCGTAGTCGCTCCGCGACTCAAGCCTGCCGAAATATTCCTCTCCCGGTGCATCGGAAAAATATTCTCAACCGTGTTCTAAGTCATGTCTTAAAAATTGGGAAATCATGGTTTGGAGCAATGTCAAATTTGACTGAACAATGAGTACTAATATTGAAAACGTTTTCTCAAACATTGGTACCAAACAGAAAATATTGTTATTATTACCCAGCAACAATAACACTGTTTTCTCATCTGGAACATCAATGCCAAACATATACCTAATGCATCATCAAATACATGTGAAGATATTCCCGATGGATAGCTGAAAAATGATGAATACAGTCCCGTACATAGAATCGTTACGTTAGTCAATGGCCGTTTTCTTCTTCAAACTTCAAAGTTCAAAAACCTTTTATTTTAAGCGACATTGCCAACCCAGAGAGAGAACTTCTGGAGGGTTGCAGGGAATGGTGTGCAAATCCAGAGAGATAACTTCTGGAGCCTCCAGCACGCGGTATAGACTGTGGGGACCCGTTGAAATGGCTGGCATGAATATAAAGGAAGGCAGAGGAAGACGATGAATGCCCTTTTTTGATATTTTTTCAAAAAAGTTATCTTATATTAATTATTTTATAAAAATATTAATTTGTATTGATATTCAGGGCAAAAAGTTGCCCTAATCTGCTAAAAACCCTAACAATACCTATATTTTGATTGCCCAACTAGGCTACTGATGCCTCCTTAGCGCATAAATACACTGTCCATCCGCTTTAAATGCAACAATATTAAAATATTATCGATATCATGACATGGATACACATACCAATATATTTTAAAAATGCATGAATAAATACCAATCAAAAATATATAAAAAAACTGAATATGTTAAGAAATATATATATATATATTTTATAAATACATCAATAACAATAAAATTAATGTTAAAATAACATAATGTATAAATATCATACAATTTTATTGAATGTATTATTATAAAATGTAAACAAAAATATCAATTCATAGTTTTTACAAAAATATATAATCTTAACTTAAAATATATCAAATCTATTCAAACTTCTAAGTATGTATAATATGAGACTTCATAATTTTTAATTACTAAAATAATTTTTCATTATTAACAACTTTATTTCGAAAACTTTTCTGAAAAAAGAAAAAATTATAAATTTATATTAGTAGATTTGATAGATTCAATTTAATATTATAGTCTTGACTTGAATATTTTGTAACAATTTTTTTTATTTTTGTAAATAATAAGTATGTTATTATTTAGTATAAATTAAAATATTAATTAATAAATTATAAGAAAAAGTATGCAAATTTTTTAGATAAATATTATTTGCACATTTATAAGTTAATTATTAATATTTTAATTGATAAATTTAATGAGAACACAAATCAAATTTTGATATTATATAAATTTGATAGATTGTATGTTCCATAAACATATGAACTTTGTTTGAATTACATGCTGGTAATAAAATCAATAAAATTTATTTTATTTCATTTATTATCACAAATTAGTGGCTTCTGAAGCATGCGAACCCTAGTTATATGTTAATCTCTCACTGACTTGATAAAGATAGTGTTACAAGTTCGTAAAAATGAAAAAAAAAAAAAAGAAAAGTTCAAGGCTAAAACTACTAGAGAACACTAAAATGTGACCAAATCAACGGTTGACACTATCTTTGTGGTTATCTTCTCGGTGCTATAATCATCCAGGGAAATAAAAAGAAGAAAAAAGGATCAGTGTTTACCGATTACCACTATGGAAATGAAATATCTCTCTATGAAATAAAGCATATAAATACGGAGATATTCTCAATCCAAGACAGTCTCTCAAACTGGCTTTGGCCTGACTAAAGCAGAACTCATCTCCTATTAAGCCATTTCTCTAGAGCCGCACATGAATGGCTCAGCACTGAATCTTAACCAAGAATAAAAATAAGGTTGGCTCAAATGAAAATTGGCTGCTTGAGTGATTCAGGACTTACAAATGGACTATTGGCTGAATCTTAACCGTAATTGAATGGTTCAGGAATCGGGACTCGAAGAAAGCCACACTTCATTACGGGCTTACGGCAGGAATATTGGCTGTTTGCATGACCGGTGGGGTAAAATTTTGATTTTAGCCAAAATATTCTTTTAATGAAGAAAACAAGACAAACAAGGGACCGAGTGAGGTGAGGTGTGATGCCGATGCAGAGAAGCGTAACCTCTTTTGGACTTATTCCACAACCTTGTCTAAATCTCTGAAAGACATGGATGGAAGCTAAAACAACCAGACTGGAGCGTGTCAGAGCAGATTTCCAAGTGCATACTTCACTTTGAGGATTGCCAATCGTCGGTCAAATCCATCATCTTTAGGATTTCATATCCCCCGAGCCCCATTCACCCATTCCAGAGATAATTGAATCTCTCAATCAGAGTACGTGTACTGTATAAAAAAATTCTTTAGGATTGCTTGGTAGCCAAGGAATATACATCCTTGATGTATGCAACCAAATATAGAAATGAATCAAGAGATTTGTATCTAAAATGCAATTCCATTACAATGCACCTTTTGAGGTTAGTCAGTACATTCAGCCAACCCTGATCCAAGTTCTAAAACCCAGGGTTTACACCTCATTCCTAATTTCTATGGTAAGTATAAACCTAATTTACAAGTGGTTGCAAAATTGGGCAAGGATAAGCTTGTGTACTCAATAATAAGTCCCATAGTAGGCCTGCTGGACTGGAGCCTGTTGCTGAGCCGGAGCAAAAGATGCTGCCGTGCCTGGTTGATAGCTCTGCTGTGGAAAAGTCTGCTGGAGAATGAGAAATTATTATTATTTATCATCACCTTTCATCCGTTAGATACAAAAGCACACAAATAACGACATCTAGAAGCACAGTAGAAAGACCTCACAAGCTTGTCACATGGTGAATCTATCAAGTGACATGATGAATCTATAATCTAACCATTCATCTGAACCCACCCCCCTCCCTTCAGTTACAACTTACAAGTCCCCATATGTTCAATAAGCAAAAGGAAGGGTTTTCTTTGCATTGTTGTAATATAAATACAATCAAATAAGAATATGTGGGGGTAAAACATAAAAACAAAAAAAAAAGATGTTATGATCCTTTAGGGGATCGATGCTTGTAGTTTTGTCAAACTATTTTACCTCTCTTGTGTGTGTGTGTGCGTGCACGTGCAAGATGCTAACAATACATATTTTCAACCTTTTGACTAAAAACATATTAGACACCACCTCACGGTAAAACATGGAACTTAAAGGCACATGACAAAAAAGGGGACATTTTACTTCGAATATATTCTTATTATAAGAAGATACGCTTTATGGGGGTAGACTGGGTACGGTCCTAACCTTAGGTTTTTTTCTACACAAAGTGGCTGCCCTCAGATATTACATCATATATACATATAAAACATGTAAAAACATTTCATTCATTTTTTTAAGGAAAAAAGAACATACTAAACACAAACATTTCTAATCATCCCATTTATCATAGTCATTTCACATTTGAAACTGAATTTTGCACACATGGCAATGTGAAGCTGAATTTCGACGGATGTAGCCTTGGAAACCTAGGATAGGCAGGTATTGGAGGGGTTTTCAGAAAGGTTGAAGGAAAAATCATGGCTCTATACTTGGGCCCTAAAGGGAATGAAGACTAAATCAAGGCAGAGTTGTGGTCAATTCTGCAAGGGTAAGGCAGGCTAAAGCTATGAATTTCCAAAATTTGTTGGTTGAAGGGGATTCAAAAGTAGTAATCAGATGGATAAGGGGCAATCAAGAGACTCCTTGGGAAGTTTAGATATGCTGTAAGACAGATAAAAAAGGCATTATGTGCGAACTTGCTGCAAATATTTCATGGATTGCAAGATCTGGAAATGAGCTGGCTGATGGATTGGCAAAAAAAAGGGGCTACAAGGGACAATCTATATTGGGGGTCAAGTGCTGTAATTTTTTCTGTCATGTTGTCTTGGTTTTGGTAGTTGGTGTTGTTACCCAATGCTAGCAAAGTCCTACCAGGAGCATCCTTATCCTTGAATCTCCCTCAAATAATAACAAAATTCTCGGTGATTCATAAAAAAAAAATGTACACAAGCTTTTCAGTATTATACATCTAATTATAATTTACTAACTATAAGCATCTCTAGGTCGATGCCTTTGGATGCATAGCCTGCGTAGAGCATTGCCTAGGCATGTTGTTCACTAAAAGGCTTGAGATGGCCTAGGTGTTGCTTGGGCAATGTCTTGATATCAATAAACCAAAATAAAACCCATTCAAGGCAAGTAGTATACAATTTCGAAATATTTCAAGATCCAGAAGGAAATTTATTAGTATTAATATTAATATTAATTTGTGTGACCCAACATTGAGGTTTATGTTTGGGCAAATATTAATACATTTCAAAACATGCATGATTTAGAAGGTCAAGTATTGGTCAAGGGCGAGTCCCTCCTTACCAAATTGAGATGTGCCCAAATCACACACCTTCATATAAAAGCAAGTAGTACCCTTTAGCAAAAGCAGTGCTCTTTAATACAAGTATTTAGGCTCTGAATGCAGTACATACAAAAAAGGGGAGGAATGGTACCTGGACAGGATACGATGAAGGATAAGTACCATAAGCAGCAGCACTCTGCGGTGCCGAAGTTGGAGTCTGCTGATGAGTATAACTGTTAACATAACCACCATATGCAGCATATCCAGCCTGAAATTACAGAAGTACACACAGCATGAGGTTAAATAACTGGGTCTGGGTTCAAATAAATTTGAAGTTTACACACACTAAAGTTGTACAAAGTATGCAACAATGGATGATTTAAAATTGGTAGTTTCAATTTCATGATATTATTCAAATGGTGGAGCCTAAAAACTCAAAGGAATCGGAAGCCACCAAGTACCAATCCAGATAGAATATTAAATTTCCCTTTACCTCTGTAGTAAAAAACGTTAAGGTAAATATCCACCAAATAGTCTGTGTAGCAGCACAAACAGGAATTACTAGCACAGGGAAGAAAATGCAGATAAACCACGAGATTCTCAATGAAACTTTCCTTTCCATTTCTTGAAATTATATCCTTAATTCCAATAGCTTTTAAGCAAATAAATAAAAATCAACGCATATCAATCCATGTCAACTAGACCTGGTAATTGGGTTGGGTGGGTCGGGTTCAGGTTGGGTCAAGACACTTCGGGTTGATTATCGGTCGGGTTGAATTTCAGGTTGGGTTGTCAAATGCTAGACCCTAACCCTAAATGTTCGGGTTACGGTTGACCCATGGGTCAATATGGGTCATCCCAAAAAATAAATGAAATTTAAAAAAAATAAAGAAAAACTATATGAAAATGCCAAAATTTAAAGAATTAACCTTAAAGTTCCAAATATAAAATAAAAAAACTTGAACATTTAACAATTTAAAGAGTAAACAATAAAGACTAAAGACTAAATAGAAAAAATTAAAGAATGGAAACTTTTAACAATGCATAAATAGTCTCAATTAGACTTGACAATCGGGCCAGCGGGTTCACCCATGACCCAACCCAACCCAGTTTTTTCGGGTTGGGTCGGGTCAGGTCAATCTCACATTCAGGTAGCTAAACATGAGCCCCTAACTCTGTTTTTTCGGGTTGGTTGGGTTGGTTGGGTCAATTTTTTGTCAGGTCCTATGTCAACAAACATATTGACATGTTGAGGTCAACCCTAACCCTAACCCAACCCAATACATTTGGGTTGGGCTGGTCTCAGTTTGACTCAGTTTCTTTATTTCATCATGCTAAAATACATTGCATGGTGCTTAGAAGGACAAAGCTATGGTGCTTTAATTATATTGCATTAGAAAAATTTTTCCTTTCAAACATAAAATTATTGATACATACATATATAATACCAATATTGGGTTACCCTAACCCGAACTGTCACTCAGCCAGGATTCCAGGTCCGGTTCAGTCAAGCCCAGTCAGACAGCCAAAAACCGTGACTTGGACAAGAACCGTTCAACCCGGCCAGTTTGACCGTTGACCCATTCGACCCGGTGACCAGGTTGTCGGTTACATACACATTCGATGCATGCAAAACTTTCGAAGGTCATAACTTTGCACTCCGATGTCCGATCGTTTTTTTTTATTTTGGGTAACTATTCGAGATCTATGCGTCCCAAGGAGCCATAGGCGCCTTGACTCGCTATTTTCACAGAAATAAAAAACATTTTTTAGCCTCAAATTGCAATTTTTAATATTTTTATAAATTAAAAACTGAATTATAACACAAATTAAATATAAAATAATACATATAACATATCTAAAACATATTTATACATTATTTATTGCAAAAATATATATTTATACACAAATATATACATATATACACATATATGTATATAAATGTATATATACTTAATATATATATATGCGATGACATGGCACGGTCTGAACCGTTCGACCCGGACAATTGAACCAATGACCCACAACCCGGAGGCAAAACCAGTTCGACCTCCAGGTCGGTTTTTAAAACATTGGGAAGTACAATCAGCCTTAGGGGAGGCACAAGATGCTACCCCAAAGGTATAAGACCCATGCACTGATTATAAATTTGATTTGATTCATTACTATGCATTTATGTTCACTCAGGCATCTGCCTCGGTATTTTCCATTTGCTCCTTAACACCAGCTGAACCCCCGGCATAGAATGGTACCTAACTACAAAAGTATTTTTTTGATAAATAACTACAAAAATATATGTTATATTTCAAATGCTTATGAAATCGCAATAAAGGACTACCTGTTGACCATAGCCAGGATTCCACTGTTGCCCCTGTGCCTGTGGAGCTTGTTGCCAAGCTTGAGGCTGTAACCCATATCCAGCAGCCCACTGATTCTGAGCACTTGGGTATGAGCCCATCAGTGATTGTGCTGAAGAGGAAACACCAGCATAAGACTTGTTGAGCTTTGCCTTGTCTGATGCTAGAAAATCCTCGGCACTCCGTTTTTTCAACTCTGATGTATTCCTGTGGCGCAAAAAGAGCTTTGCATGCCGATCATCAGCCTTCTTGATCGATGTTGCATCCCCAAAGAGATCCAAGAACTGCAAAACAGGTAGGAAGATGGATGGTAATTAAAACTTAAAAGAACCAAGGAAAATGGATGCATAACTTCCAATGCTATTGAAATCCAATAGGAAATCCTATTTCTAGTGGAATCCTATTATGCAGTCAAATTTGTCATTGAAGTTGCAATCGCCTATAAACTCACAATTTGATTTCCAATCAAGGAAACAAGAAACGTATATTAATCTTTATAGCTTCAGAATGCATTTGGAACAACTCCACAAGTAATTCGTAACAAGAAATTCTAATAACAAAATATGAAGTCGTAAAGGATATGACTGAATAGATGAAATAGGCAACTCATGGAATGAATGCCAAAATATGACAACTAACTACAAACCAAACAAAAAAAATCATAAGATGGTTTGCTCACAAATCCAAAATAAATGCCAAGTTCTTTCTTGGGTATTTCAAACATCACAGAAAGTTATTACCTCCAAGTAAATGCTAGATATCTCTTCTCTATCAGCAGTACTTGCAGCATTGGGATTATCAGGGCTAGGCACAACGAACTTCTCCACTAATGAATCTAAATAATCAATGCGCTTTGGGGCTGACTGTATAGTCTCCAGATGGATTAAAGCCTGCACATCTCAGAGAAGCAAGTGTACCATTGTCAACTATAGGAGAACACAATGAAACTATTGACATCTGAAATAGCAATACCAAAATTAAACAAAATTAAGAGATTAAACCTCCAAAAGCGGTTTTGACAGTTGCACATGCTCAAGGGCTTCGATTAGAATTCCTCTAGCTTTTTCAGCATCCCCACCAACCTAGAAAGGAACATGAAAACAAATAATAATATCATTATCACTGATTATCCAGTCAAAAAAGCACCACCAAAACACCATGATCAATGTCCAAAGAATAATGTCAGAGAATTAAAATGATTTCTATTCAGTGTAACTTTTAGAGGAAGCACTCGATGCTCCTTTTGAAGCCACAAACTTATTTGTTGCCTATTAGAAAAGAAAATGCCACTGTGTAGTGAGAAATATAAGCCTCAAATTTTATCAGAATCTACTCAAATCTTTCAGAAATTATGTTTACCAGATTATATAGACTTATAGAGAACATGAAAACAATGTTACAAAATGGTTCAAACCTCCATCCGTTTTTCATWCCACGGGTTTCTCATGTTTCTGAAAAATTAAAAAAAAAAACATATTTATAAATATAAAACTTATATTGAACTCAATTCAACTTAACAGAACCTTGTACCAACCGTATAGGGACAGCTACATGAATCCAATTCCAGCACTCAACTCTATTCAGTGTCATATCCCTTTTCTTTCATTGATAAGTGTAACTTCATTGAATATGATGGATTGAATATTATGTACAGAATGAAGTGAGTACACTTAACATCCCTGGGGCAGCTACTCATCAAAAAAAAAAACATCCGTAGGGCAGCATGCTAAGGTTTAGTTGCCTACCCATACAATTAAGGGCACAAGTCGGGTACCTGACTTCAAGAATTTACACAGCATTGGGTCCAAGCCCTCCACCAATCATTGCAGCTCTACAAAGAATCAGTTATCCATCTTCCCGATTGTAGTTCCACAATACAATTGGGCTCTTTAGACACCTTGCCTAGCCAATGTGTCAGCTACACTATTTGCGGACCTTCTTGTTCATTTAATATCTAATAACTGTTTCCCTTATAAGCCTTTTTGCTTCTCTTAGAATGTATCTAATTTGTCATGTGCTCTGTTGCTTTTAAGGCAGCCAATAACCCTTCTACAACAATACCACTATAGTTTTGCTCTTTGCCCAAACTATGAACTTTTTTTTAGATTCCAATCTAAGACCTTGTAGCACCATTTCCAATTCTTCCTTGGTTAAATCTCCTTGACATAGAGCAAGGATATCCCCCTTCTCATTTCATAACACAAGCCTAACACCCAAATGCCATAGGTTAAAACTGCTACACAATCAAATTTCAGATTTAGCTTGTAGAGTATGAATTGGATCCAATAATTTGATGTGCTTCTTGCAATAGAGGATAATAATGATACCATGCCAATTCTTTGCAAATATCATCTATGTAGAAGGGGCTGGGTTAAACAAATCCAACATCTTCACCCAACAGACCACCTTCACCATGATACTTCCAATTAATTCTTCTTTGGTATGTTAATTCTCCTTGAAGATTCTAGAATTCCTCTATCCCCACACTGTCCATATCGCTGTCATTGTACATTTCCACAAAAACTTCCCCATCTTGTCTCGTAGCAAGAAAAAGCGATCCCTAAAACTATGATTGCTTTGACAGAGCCTGCATGTATAAAAGGCACAACCTGCATCCAAATAGAGAGAAGAAAAATCTCACAAATACAAGCGAAAGGATGTCTTAAGTGGTGATCTTGGAACAGAAAATCTACCAGCAGAAAACTCTAATTTTAGGAGGTACTAGTACTTTTTTACTTCCTTAAGCAAGAAATCCAAGGGGGACTAGGGGTGGCAATTTTCCCCGTCCCCGACGAGTACCCAGGCTCCCCGACCCGATGGGGTCGGGGATGGGAGACCTTGGCGGGGTCGGGGTCAGGTTCGAGGATGGGGCTACCCATGAATCCCCGATCGAGGATGGGGACGGGGGCGGGGACGGGGAATGCAATCCCCGCCCTGACCCATCCCCGATTAATATTATATATAATATAATATTATATATTATATAAGTATAATAATTATTAATTTATTTATAAAACAATAAAAACTAAAAGTCTAAAACATAATTCGAAGAAATCAAGAAAACTTGAAAAGYTAACTAAACCAGTTACCAGTCTTCATTCTTCTGTCTTCGACAGAGAAGACTCAAGAGAGGCGACTGAACCACAAAACCAGTAATCCCTAGCTTCGTCTTCGTCCCCGATTCGCCGACCGCCAACTATCGTCATTGACTGTTTCCACTGCCCACTCGCCCATTGGACATCGAACAGAGGAGAGGCCAGAGAAATGAGGAAGAGACTTCGTCTTCGTCTTCGATTCGCAGACCGCCGACCATCATCGTCACTAACCGTCGTCGCCGTCGCTATCACCCTTCAGACTCTCTCTCATCAGCCATCATCAACATAAACTCTCCCAAGTCCCAAAGGTCCTCTCTCTCTTAGTTTCGGGGATCCGGGTCTCCGACTGGGATGAATTCCCCATCGGAGTCGGGGATGGAGGGGGGATTCCTTTCCCCGTCAGGAATTGGGGACGGGGATGGAGAGTGATTTGGGGGTCGGGGTCGGGGATGGGAAATGTACTCCCCACCCCGAACCCGCCCCATTGCCATTCCTAAGGGGGACACAGAAGATAGAGTATGCTTTGAAGAAAGAAACACAAAAGACCCTAAAGGATTTAGAACCCATTATCCATCATTAAATTATGTCCTTGGATACGGACCTAAAGGGCTTGGGACCCTTTAGTAAAACACCTAAAGTGTCATGACTCATATCCATTATTAAGATATGGCCTCAAGTTATTTCACAAATTGCACTACCTCAGCTCTTGCTCATCATGGCCTGCCCCTAGACATTCCAGACACTTTATATTAGAACAAATCACTTCATTCTGGTGCTATAAAAGGTTTATTCTGCATGTTAGCACACCATCTTAGTCTAYTTTCCCCCATTTATCACCCATTAAGCTATTCCTAGATTTGTATGAATATTCTCACTTCTGATTCTATTTTTTCAAGCTTTCTGACTCATCCATCTTACTAGTTACTAATGCATCTCAGCTGCAATTTTTTTCATGCATTGCTTCTTGACTGCCCAACACTCAAATGCATAGTGCATACAATATTACTAGCCTGGATAAAATAGGCCTACATTCTAAACATATTTAAAATAAATACAACTAGATACCTAAAGTAATGAAATGTGTTTAAGGGAAAAAAATTGCCAAACCTGGTATGACCCATACCTGGTTCTCTGGTCAAACATTCCAGATTTCCAATCTGGTCTAGGTATTGATTTCAAATTGACAATATGTTTATGTGTTCAGAAAATTTGCCACACTTGCCCTAACTCAGACCCCGTTTTCCTGCCAGGTGACAGTTTGGAATGGTCTAACCCAATGTTTTAAAACAGAGGCATGACAGTAGATATTTCACTACCTGGAGGCGTAAGGAGTAGTTCAGAATATAAAAGGCATAAGCCTTCCAAGAACAACGAGGCATAAGCCTTGAGAGGAGGGGAAGGAGAAAGAAGAAGAGGAAGAAGGATCTCTATTATTTTATCAAAGCTCAAAGGTGTCTTGTTTTAGAAGAATAAAGATGCATGACACTAGTTGAATTCCAAACTTTCTTTCTCTATTCTAACCATTCCTACCCTTTCTTCTCTTTTCTTTTTTTTTCTTCCTGTCTTTTTGTATGAGGTGAGCATGAGGCGCATGAGGTGAGGAGTATGCCTCTAGCACACCTCATGCAAAAGGCGTACACCTGAGGCATCAATGCCCCAGGGCATTTTGAGGGCACCTTGTGCACCACCGAGCGTACGCCTCCCAGGCCTTTTAAAACATTGGTCCAACCATCCAGATCATTCAGGATCACACAATACTGCAGAAAAAGCATTTTTCAACACATTAATGACAACATTCTTTGCCAATGAAAAAAGAATAAACATTAAACCATTTCAAAAGTCTCAAAGCTCACATTGTAATAAATTAATCTACATGCAGATCAGACAAACTCTAAACTATATGGCTGCTTTCACAATTAATGAAATGAAAATGGCATTTCAAGAACTTGAAGAGTTCAACAGACAAGTGATGGGGTTAAAAATTGTAAAGCTAAAAGTAGCCTCAGGTCCCTTGGGTGAACAAACATTCAATCACTGTTTCTTACAGGCATATGCTGTTACACCTACCAAGAAAGAAAACCGTGAGTACTGAACAAATAGCATAGGTAATGTTTGAGATTGCTCCTTTCCTTTTTCAGTGGCAATGGCTTGCTCATATAATGTCAGGGCATCTTCCATATTTCCCTGCAAGATCAACAGAAAGACTAGTTCCCAGGCCATAAAACACGATAAATACAGTGACCTCTAATAAGTAGTTTGAATGATCTTACTAGTCTATGTTCCATGTTTGCATGCTTAATGACAGCTTCAAGGAGACCAGGTGAAATTCCAGAATGTACAAGTTGATACGCAGCACGAGCTCCTGGAATGTCCCCATGCTGCTCCTTAAATCTAGCAGCAAAAAGGTGAATTTCTGGTTGTCTCTGTTAAAAACATAAATAACAAAACATATATTAAAGAAAAATACAGGAAAAGAGACAAAAGAACTAACTCCAGCAATTAAATGTATTCAACTCTAAGACAGAATCTTTGGTACCGCATTGGCATCTCAAGTAAAACTATCTGAGATGAGTCAATTTACACAGACCTTGTTCCTTAATTTCATTTATATGCCTATAAGAAATATATCCAACATTAACTGATTACCGAGATACAAAAGGCTATTATATTGTACTATAGAACACTTCTTTTAGCAATCAGCAACAACCAAAAGTTGTTGATTTATAAAATATCAAATCCCCGCCTCAAATATCAACCAAGAGTCAGGGACAGATATGAAGGTCTGCTTGTCAATAATATTATTAAATGCCCTAATCTTCAGAGATATAGGGTATACAATTGATGCAGGAGCAGCTCAACTCCCAGTCCCTTGGTAGAATAAGAGGCAGAGAGAGAGAGAGGGAATACCTGGAATCAATCATTGGGTACCAAGAATCACTCTGGGGTATGGGAATCACTCACCATAATTAGCATAAGCTAAAAAAACTCAATGAAATTCATTGATTTTTGTGTAAAACGTCGATATACATAACTATAGACTCTTAAGAATCTTAGTATCTCAAAACAAAAGTGTAGGCTCATAAGAATCCTTGTATGACTCAAAAATAAAAGTGTACTATCCCTTTTCAAGTCAAAGAAGACTCAATAACTCTTGTTCTACTCATTCAATGACTCCAAATTTTTAAACATAAATGAAACTATTACTAGACAAACCAGACCATATCATTGGACCCCACATAAAAATTRCAAAATGGTGAAAATACCCCTAGTGTCCAAATATATAAAATTTCAGAAAATTCCAATACTTTACTCTTCATCTTCTGCATCAACAATCAACACATGTTTAACAATTGTATCATGTCTGTTCATGTGGGGAAGGTAAGTCACAATTTGGAACCACAGGAAACCCCCTTACCTTGACAAAGACTTGTGTAGCCCGAGCAAGTGCATTATTTGCAAGATCCATACTTCCACTGCCTTCCATGCATAAAACATACCGTATCCAATACTCAGGATAATTGGCACAGGCAATTAAGCATCTCTCATATAGCTTGACAACCTGAAACAGCATGCATAACATCATAAACCCAGATTCAATGAAGGTTGCATGAACTGAATGAATACAACAAAGCAACAAAGAGAAATGCATAAGGGATACTCCAATGGCTGAATAGGAGGCCCCTCAAATATGAAATGAGGGACCTTCCTTGCCTGACAGATAGATGGTTAAGCAGAAAACAAGATACCTGCATGTATAACACTGTAATTTTAAAAGAATAGTATTTAGCATACAATATCAACCTAGAACTTCCACTGACAAATGAGGGTTTGAAGTACTTAGCCTTGCAGAAACCAAACGCTTTAATCTCAGTTCAAATTCCCATTTTAAAAGTTGCTTCACCCAACGCTTTGGCCAATAAAGCATATAATGCAGCAAACATGACTTAACTGTAAGTCAATGTATAACAAGACAGACAACTAAAAACTACTAACCATGAAGAAACCAAGTACCTGTCACAACTCCTGAAATGAATGCACATACCTTGTTAAAGTCTTCCTGCTGTTCAATAAAATCCAGATAGTTATGCCAGTTTTCAAGCTCTGCACCAATGAGTGGCCGTACATGAAAGTAAGGCCTCCTAATAGCTGTTTCAAAACCAATGATCTTAGAATCGTACTCTTTAGCTTTCTTATACATCTCTTCTCTAATGGCGATATACTTCTCCAACTCCTCTGCTTCTGATAATCCTGCACTTACAGGTTTAGTAGATTGTTCCACTCCATCAGGACGAACCTCGTCGGCTCCACCACTAGCTTCCACATTTGCAGCTGCAACAGCAGCTGCTTCCTCAGCAGTTCGTAGTTCAGATAAAGGACGACTTCCAGCCAACTCCTTGAAACTGCAATTTAGATAAAAGGCGTTATATCTTGCCAGTCTGAATACATGCAGTATTTTAAAAGATACACAGTAAGTGCAGTGCACTTAAGCTCACAGTTGAGGCCCATTTTGTGGAGTACACCTCACATGAATTTAATGTTAAATACGTAACTAATATAAAACTATTAGTCATTTTCAAATATTGCATTTACTTCAGATTCGCATATTCTCGAGAACAGCATGTACAAATCCAAATTTGTAGCATGCATTTCATGATGCACTCAGCTCTTCATGGCTCATAGATGTACTTCAACAGCACTGTACATATAGCATGAGATGTCCTAACAAGTCAAAGGAGCTATTACAAAAACAATGACATGGCATAGTACATTTCAATATCCACATATAAAAATGGCAATAGCAAGATGACCAAAACTTCTACTCCTAATTAATTGACAAAAAAGCATAAGACCGCTGAGCAGTTTTGACAATATTGACCACCATAATTTGCCTAGAGTGAGATGAAAAAAGAATTACAACCACAAAGGACAAAGTAACTTATACCACCAGAACTTTGCCGTCCAATGAAACGTTTAAAAAGACAAATGCAGACAAAAAGATAAACATTAGAAAAGGCAGATTGGTAAAAATGTAAGTTGAAGACATGATGATAAGCTACTAAAAGAGATTACCTGTTAAAATAGCGATCCAACTGTTGATTAGGATTCTCTAAAATCCTTGTGTAAATCATAGCAAGGCGGCTCCACTCCTGTTGTGAGTATTCATACTCAATATATTTATCCCAAAGTGAGTGGGACAAATAATCTGTCCCAACATAAGCCAATCCACGTTCAAACAACCTGAAACATCAAAAGAATGCGGAAGATCTTTATGGTATATGCAAATGTTCATACTAGCTATTTGAACTCATCGATGAATGGGAGACATTGGCCCTAGTGTTGAAGGAGAAGGAAAAAAGAATCACTCTAACAGCATATGGCACTTCTTAAGTTAGGTTACCTTCCTGAAAAAATCATACTATGTCCGTGAAATGGAGCAGAGATACAGGCCATCTTAGCCCTTACTGAACGTCATCTTCCCAGCAGCATTTTGTATATTGATGCACCCATAGCCTCAGAGTGTCAAAGTTAAAGACAGCAGAAATTCATGACGAACTACATGACTACTACACAGGCCTTGGAGAAAAGTGAAAGGGAAATGGGGAGAATGAGGGCATAAAATTTGGATTAATTGAATCCTAAACGAAATTTGAAATGGCTACTAAACACAGTAGCTTCAGAATAGAGGGCTTGCACATCAGAAAATTGCATTTCCTAAGTGCATTCCCAGCAAACCTTTCCGCCATACATGAGGCACCACTGTTGCAGGCATACTGAAATAAGGTTAGAAAATGTAACAAATCACCAGATTCTCACTACAATGAGAAAGCCAAGTGAACATGACCTCATCCTGCAACACTATAAAGACCACAAACAAGTGCATAGGAATTACCTTCGAATGGCATCTGGATCTCCATATGTTGATATAGCAAAAATACAATAATGCAACCAAATGTCCACGGAATATGTGACAGCCTCAACTGCTCGCTCATATACCTCCACAACTTTCTCAATAGAACACAGACGCCCCTCATGATCTGCATATTTCTTCCAGTAACCATAACACAAAGGGAACTCTGCTAAGAAAGTATCATAGACTTTCCGGATTTTTGATATGTTATCCTGCAAACAATGAAAAATTATTTGTCTAAGACCTGCTAGAAACAAAAAGATTTCTGAAATGCAAATTCACTTCCAATGATACCATTAGAAACTAACATATTGTACTGAGCTCCCCCTTGGTAAGAAATATCATCATGGTCTCCTGTCTCTAATGTCATTAAATTGAACTTTTGATGGCTGCAGTTTGCAATAAACCAGAAAATTTGGGAATAAAAGTGTTCAAAGATTGTGATAGAGACATCATACTAGCATTGTTCTTTGGACCCATTTCAACAATGGAAGAACTAATTGCATTCCTACAAGGGATAAGGTGAGCTAAACCCCCAAGTTATGAGAATTTAATGGGGAAGGGGATTAATGCAACAGTGGGATGGCTCAAAAAATGACAGTTACAGGGTCTTGGTGATACTGACATGCAATGAGGGATACAAAGCAGCAGGCTAGGATATTAGTACGCAAACTAGAACTGTACACCAAGATCAAGTGCAGCTAATGGTTTGACAAGACAGGGAGAAACCGAAATCAATTGTATTGAAGCTTGATTCCCCAAGGGGAACTTGTAAAAACTAAAAAGTAAAATTGAAAAGACGGTAGCAAATGCTAGCCCAAACATAGGGGTGCTTTGGCACATTTGTATTCTATTCATCATTCTTTAACATAACACTCTATAAAGCTTCTTTTTTTTAGAAAGAGAGAGAAGGTAAAGTATAATTGTATTAAAGAAAGACGTTCAATTGACATAAAGGGCTCATTAGGTGAAAACTTTTGATGTGTCCATTGATAACTCTGTAGTTTGATGCCTTAGGGGCATCATTTCAGGGGTATTGTCAGCCTTAGAATAGTCAAAATGTCCCCTTTTCCCAGTTAAATTCAATATTGTGAGCTCTGAGAGTCTCTATGCAAATCTTGGGGAAAACTAGGAGTTTCGAGGCTGAAATGCAGTCTTTGGGAAGCTGGTGTGAAGTCCAGCTAAGAGAATGGGTGTTTTGTGAAAAAATGAGCACAAGAGGGGTGTCTCCTATCTGCTAAACCCATAATGGCGTCACTCATATTGTATTATCATACTCCCCTCTCCTTAGCAAACCCTAATGCGCCTTCTAACTCATTCTTTTCATCCTTAACAAACCCTAGCCGCCCCTAACTGCTAAATCTCCACCTTCCATCCCTTCTAATCTCCACCATTCATTCTAGGGCACTCTCTTTTTAGCATTCGAACCCTAGGGAGCCACCTAACTTCTAATCTTCACCATTTAGCCTTTAGCCATTAAATCTCAGCTCTACATAATATTGGGTGCCCTCTCCCTTTCTTTTCAACCTTAGGATCACCTTAGAACAATCCTAACCCTCCATTCTAAACCCTAGGGTGCCCATATTTCTGCAAAAAAAAAACCAGTTGTCACTCCCCCTCTTTCTCTCTAATCCCAATTTTATCCACCCTTCTCTATAAAAATGACCCCAGGGGCCCTGGAGAGGTTGGTCAATTCACCTAGTTCACAAGGCTAAGGTTTCTTGAGGAGTTCAAGGGTTGTAGAAGGGAAGGACGCCCAAATCTTGTCAGGAGGGGTTCCTGCAAGCAGTCCAGCCAATCTGCAGCTACCGCCACTGGATCTAATCAACCATCCTTTTATTTTCTTTATTTTCTTTCATGTTATTTTCATTTTAGCAATCTTTTAGATTTAATTTCTATTCATTTGTGTGTTTTGCATATCCGAATTCGTCCGGTTTAAGGCTAAGGTGTCTCGAGGGGTTCGAGGGCTGAAGAAGGGAATGACGCCCAGATCTTGTCAAGAGGGTTTCCTGCAAGCCGTCCAACCAATCTACAGCTACTACCACTGGATCCAAATTTTGGATAACTTTTATTTATTTCTTTTGTTGCTTTCAGTGCTCTTTTATTTTCTGAATTTTAATTATTGTCTTGTTTAATTCCGAACATTTAATTTCAGTATTAATAAATTTTATTTTCTTATTTTTTGCAATTCCCAATTCCATTTTCTTTTTATTTGTCCGGAACAAAGACAAATAATAATTTTTCCCTCGCTTCCTTGTGGATACGAACCCTTCCTCACCACGTACTACGTTGTTTAAGGTTACGTGAGGATTTGAAAAATTTATAAATCTCTAAACTGGTGTTCCGAAGTGGTTAACGACATGCTTCCAGCTACACCATCCATACCCTTCCCCATTGACAACATGATCAAAAATTGGCAAGTAGCATAAACAACATCAACAAGAATTCCTCTAAACTTCCCTTAGCAATCTCCAGTGATATAATATCATAGAATTAAATTTTGACGATGATGCAGTGTACTAGTGTAGGAAACCCCATGAACTCAGGATTCAGGAGTAGGGAGTTTAGAAATTATGAAACATTTTGACCTTGCACTGAGGTCCAATAGATTATGGTGATTCAACTTGAGCTGAACTCACAGCAGTAATACAAGGCCTGAGGTTGGCAAAATCTCTCAGGGTAAAGAGTTCTAATGGAGGGAGAAAACTCTTATGCAACCATGAACTGCTTCTAAAAAATAAAACAGGATAATGGAAATATAAATATATAATGAGGGTAGTAGAGAAGCTGGGTTGCGGAGTCTAGAAGAGGCTTTAACCGGACCCCAAGATCTGACGATAGGTTAATAGTTGGGCAACTTGGGCTAGCAATCCTCAGGTCCAGTGGGTTATGGAGACTTTACAAGAGCTGAGATATTAGTTGTGGTACAAGGACTACAGATTTCCAACCAACTTGGTGACTAATTTGATAGTTGAAGGAGACTCTAAGGTGATAGAGGGATGGATGTCAGACCCAGAAACTGTTGTTTGGGGATATAGGGACATCATCAAAAAAAGTCAAATGGCTTACAAGAACCATGTTAGTTAGCTTTCAGTGGGTTAGTAGACTGGCAAATGCTTTAGCAGATTCTTTAGCTAAACAAGGGCCTTCAAGGGATTCTCTATTTTTGGCTAATTTGTAACTGCAACCTGAAAAGAGTTGGGTTTGGAACCACCTTTAAGGGGAGGAAACACCCTGTGCCTCCTCTCAGGGTGCTTCATGCTTGTACTATTTCTATCTCTATTTAATAAAATACCATTCATTCATCAAAAAATAGTTGGGCTAGCAAAACAATGAGTCAACAAACTCACCTGTATTGCAGTACAAGGCCTGGCAGCTCTGGTCAGACCTTTGGGTAACTCATAGCAGCTGTTCATATCTCTTATTATCACAATAAGTAAATTTAATTTACCAACCAGAAAAATGTAAATAAGTAGGGTGGCTRGCATAGACTTGGCCAACTTCAGGGTGCTTAGCATTTTTCTTGTGCATACTATACTCTATTCATATTAATAAAAACTCACTGTAAATGATCAAAAGACAAAAAAGGCAAACTCATGTGGAGAAATTGCCAAAGATGCCAAGTAGCTAGATGTAATGTTTTAAATTGATCAACCTTTCAAAATTTTGACATTTTGTCTCAGCTTCAATTGCAGCAAAACAAGATACACAGAATTTGGTGCTTTCAGAATCTAGCAGAAATAGGAAATATTTCTAGAGATGTGCATAAAAAGAGAAGAAAAATGGATAGTAGATAATGAAGGGAGAAGTAGAAACAGGAAGATTAAGATATCAAATAGGAAATCAAACAAAATGTTTTCTGAGCAACTAGCAGATTTTATTTCTCAAGTTTCAATCAGAATCTTGAAATTCAATATTTTTGGTGGATAGGTATCCTGATATCAAAACCCCATTCCCCTCCCAGAGTTCTTACCAACAGAAGACAAGGCACTCGTCAATTCCTTCCCTTGTTTTTTCTTTCTTCCTCTTCCAAATGCCTCRAAGAGTCTTCAGCAAATTACTCACACCGCAGGAAAAATAAACCCAACACCTTAGAAATCTAAATCACATATTCATTGCCAAAATAAATTTTGTGTTTTCTATATAATCTAGATCGGTGAATAGATTAAATCAAAAGCTGCCACTCGGCCCTCTCCTGGAAATTATGGGTCATGATAGACTTTGATATTGGATACAGAGAAACTGATATTCAAAGGCACGTCAATTACTTGGATCTAATTCAAAAAGAGGATAAGAAACTGTTTGAGCCCATCATTTTGCTCAATTGAATTTTGAGAAGTCAAGATAAGTCCACATGTATGTGACTATGAATAGCCAGAAAGGTTAAGGAAATTTTATTTTCAAATTAACTAAGTATCGGGAGAAGATCTTATTAGCTTTAGGAATTCAACCAGTGCTTCCTTGTGTAGTTATCTTAAACTGTCAGTCCCAAACAACAAAAAAAAGGTTGGGAATTGCATCAGCTTCACAGCCATTGTAAGAACCCTTTAGCAAAGCAATATAAACAAGTGAGCTTTTACCACTTATAGAACATACTTTGGCATAACACAGAAACTCAAATCATTCTTCTTCTCTATTCTCCTGCACTTACTACAAAAGCAATATCTTTCTCTAATTTAAGTCCATCATGCTCATATTTAACAGTCCCCTAATTCCACTAACCCTAATATTCTAGAAACTCAATTGCATACCTATTCCCATGCATGATCATTCAATCTCATACTTTATCCTTTTATCTAAATTTCCAATACCCCCCAACCCACCACCAAAATAAAGGAAAGAAAAAGAAAACCATCATTTTACTTAGGCTATCATTTAACAGTTTCTGTGTACCTCTATGTATCAGTCCCTTAAACCCCTAACAATTCCCATCAACAGCCTTTTCTTCAATATATAATTTTTTTATATATGAAATTGCCCGCTGGCTAATTTTCAACAGAGTCCCTGACTATCCTTCATCAGACTTCTACCCAAGGTACATTAGTAATATGAATCTCTGCTACAGCAATAAAAAGTACAGAAACATAAGCAAACATCATTTCTCTTAAAGAATGAATTTGAGTATAAAAATGAAAACCATCTTGCGCAGTTATTTCCAAAGAAACATATATTTACCTCTGCCACCTTCTCTGTCTCCTCAATAACAGCAGTCCAGGCATTGAAATCTAATGAATTAGTCTTCACAATGCTCCACAGCCGTTCTTCTTCCGTAGAAGCTGCTGCCAACAAGATAGTAGAAACAAATTAATCAAAAAGAAAGACCATGCCTAGAAGGTTCAGGATTTCAATGAAAGTATAGTGAGAGTTGAGCAAAATATCAGTTAGCAGTGCTAGTATAACTGCAATTCATAGAAATAGTTATCACAGAATGGTATCTGAAGATACGTTCATCTAATCAGTGTTACTAAAAAAGTAATGCAATAATACAAATATAGACAGTAACAAAATGGTTGTATGCATCACTAGATTTTGCAAATACATATTAGTGAAAACAAAATGTACAAGTGATTTCTATATTAGGTAATATGACTCCAACTTCAAAGCCATGTGATGCACACCTGTTCTGTTCTTTTTTCTTTTTTTTCTGGRGGTAACATGCATATCTCATTCAATTATGGAGAAACGGGTCAAAAAATTACAAAGAAAAATGGCAAATGAATGGATAGAGCTTATAACGTACCAGGAGCCTCCTCAAACTGTTGCTCAGTAGCAGCTCCCAGAACATCATTTGAAGCATTTCCATTTTCACCAGTTCCAGCAGGAGTGTAATTTCTCATGTCAGTAATGCCATTAGCATTTGCAGAAGAACCATAAGAAACAGCTTCATTGAATTTTTCTTCTGAGTTTTCCTGGGTGACAGCATTCTCAGTAGTAGCAGGAGCACCAATAGCCCCATGCGTTGAGGAGACAGGTGTGTCTTGCATAACAGAACTATCCATATTGTTTAAAGTTCTATCACCTGAATCAGGACCATCTGGGACAGGATTAGGCGCATCTTTTTTAATGTTAGAAGCAGTTGAATCCGCAGCACCCCCGAACGAAAAAACATCACCATCAGGAACAGCGTTTGAACCAGAGTTGGTGTAACTAGTTGGCGCAAAGCCCGTAGATGAGTAATCCATAACAGATGGATTTGGTGCTACGACAGTTTCATCACCCATTTTGGTCGGTGAACACGTCAACTGAATGTACAAGCTGCCAGATTACAAATATGATAGCACTCAATACTATCAAAATAATGATACTCAAAAACAATACAATAATGATCAGAAGCGTGGCATTCTTTCTATGGAATATATAACTATAGCTTTGAAGGCAGACAAAATCTCTATTGCAGAAATTAATCCAATTAAAACCTAATGCTAATTCTACCCAATCATCTTTTAAACCCTGAAATTTAAAAAAAAAAAAAAAAAAAAAAAAAAAAACGTAAATAAAACCATAACATGACAACATGTAACTCAAATTAATTGTTATAATACAGTGAAGCATCCCTAGGGTACAAGAGTAAGCCCGTAAAAAGACAATGAAAAATACATGTCTTTTATGCGATAAACATACATATTCAGATCCAACCAAGGCGTCTAACAAAGTGCTTAATGTTTGCAAGGAATGCGCTAGGAGAATTCCTGAAAAAAGGCCATGGATAAAGCCTAGGGTTTAAGACAAAACCCTGCATACGAAAAATAACTGCCCTAACTAGTCTTGTTACCGACATAGAAAATAATAACTAGGGCTTGGGAATCAAAACCCTAGTCCGGTTCCAGTCTATAGGGAAGTGCAAACCCCATTGACAGCGTGTGGAACTGAAGAACAAGAACTGGAAATTCCTTTAAATGAAAGAATAAGTGAGAAAGAGGCGAAATGGCGTTATAGCTATAAGAATGCCATTAACTAATACTCACTTCTTTTGTGTGTCAACAGCGAGGACAGCGAGGGAGAAAAGCTGAGAAACTCAGAAGAGTGCAGGATGAGACGCTTACGATTTCCGATTTCGGTCCTTCGCAACAATGGTTTTGATGTGAGAAAATCAGAAATCCTCGGTTTGTTTTATTTTGCCCGGAGCGCCTCTCCTTTTATTTTTGCGCCAAAGGGTTCCCACGTTGGGTCGGATTCGGAGGGCGGCAAAGTGCAAACGGATCAATTCGAATCGGATATGGGTGGATCCAAATTTGATTTTGAACCGGATTCAATGGGATGGCATGAAATAAGATACGAGCAAAGCTTAAAGCTGAATCGTATAAGTGATAAGTATATACATATTTGCATATGTCAATCAATTCTAAATGATGATAATGATTATAATAATATATCTAAAATTTCGTATTTTTCTCTTTTCTTTTTATTATTAATTGAATATAAGTTGCAAATTCCAAATTTGATTTTATAAATACATCTTCCAAATATGTGATTATCAAATCAAATTGTAAAATTTAAAGTATCAGAGACAGACTTATTTACTTGGCTATATTCTTCTTTTTATAATGTTTTATCCAATGTTTTCAACCCAYTGTTAACCCAGTCAGTCGAACAGTCACTTGGCCAGGATTTTGGGTCCGGTTTAATCAAGACCCACCAAACAATCAAAAATTGTTGAATTGGTCAATAATCATTCAACCCAGTGATCAGTCGCATGTTGCATACTCAATGCATACAAACTTTCAGAGGCCATAACTTTGCACTCCAACGTCTAATTGGAGTGATTTTTTTTGTTTTGGCTAACTTTTCGAAATATATGTGTCCCGAGGAGCCATAGACGCCTTGCCCGCTATTCTCATGGAAAAAAAAAACTTTTTTGGCCCCAAATTACAATTTTTAATATTTTTTATAAATAAGAAAATTAAAACACGTAAGTTAAATATAAAATAATACATACAACATATTTATATATTATTTATTGCTAAAATGTATATTTGTACACACACATATATACATACATACATATATATACTTAATATATATGCGATGGCATGGCATAGTCTGAACTGTTCGACCCGGCCAGTTGAACCGGTAACCCATGACCTGGAGGCAAAAAGGGTTTGGCCTCCGAGTCGATTTTGTTCATTTATTAAGAAATGTAATATTTAAATATAGAGAATTGAATTAGGTGAACAACATTAGTTCAATTTACAATTTAAACTCACAATTAAATAGGGATTAAATTAAAAAAATGAGTATTTTAGTCAAAAAGAATGTTCCACAATCTTATTCATATTTTTAACAGTAATGTAAATATAGAATTATAACTGTGTTCAATTTTTTCTATAATTTTTTGTATTCCTATATGTAAAAATAGTTCTCATATGCCACACTTTTTGTTTAATATGATAAATATAAGATATAATATATGTGCCTGATTTTTTTAAAATCTATGTATTTTTCCATTGTTGTATTTTTATACTTTATTAATTTTTATTACTAATTTATGACATTAAAGGTTAATACATTTGACCCAAAAGTTGAACCATTTACTTTGCCAAATAATAAAATAATTTCATATTTGGTCTATTCTAAATTATGTATTTCACTTTCATTATCAATAAAAATAATTATTGTTATTACACTTATTTTTTTAATTTGATTAAAAAATATCATAAGTGTGTATATTTTTTATTCATTTTTGTAATTTTCTATATTTATTTTTGCTTTCAAAGTTTTATTGCCTAACTATGATATCATAGGTTGACCAATTTGATTCAAATGGTTGAATTGCTTAGCCACCACTTGGATAAAGAATTGCTTAGCCACCAATTTGATTCAGAGGGTAAGAAGTACTTATTATTAAAAAAATCACTTCTTAAAAAAGTGAAATGGATGTGGCTTTTTTTTCAGCACTTTTTGAAGAAGTGCTTCTTCATTCAAATGGGATAAACCTGTCCCTGTTTTTTCTTTAAAGACAAAACTACCCCTACTGGAGTTTATCATCTTCTTCTTCCATTCGAAAACCTACAATAACAGGCAATAGTGGCGTTTGGTTGTAGGTCCACCGGTGATGTTTGGTTGCAAGTCCACCGGCAACGTTCCACGGTGAGCAAAAGCTAGGCGACGAAGTTGGGTGTATAGTTAATACAATCATTCTTATAGGTCCACCACTTTTCCCTTCCTATAGCCATTCTTATAGGTCTTGTAAGCGGTGGACAGATCAACACTAATGCAAAAGCTGAAGAGAAACACTAATGAAACCAGAAAAATTCCTTGAACCCAACTGCAGGAAAAAAAAATAAAGAAAATAAAGAAAATCTGGATCTACAATATATGGGAAAAAACTAAGAGATTGGGAGAGAATTACCCTGAACATGCCCATTTCCAGGTGAGAGGAAGTACGAAAACACCTAACACCATTCTCAGTATAGAAAGGGAAAAGCGGTGGAGGTTCTTACAATACATGTAAGAACGGCTATAGGAAGGGGCTCCAATACCAACATTAGAAAATGGGGAAATGGGCAAGTCGGATTCATGCTCCTCTACAAAACCCTTATCAAAATTCTTTGATTGCTCACAAAAACAACAAAAAAAATTTGGTTTTCTTTTCGTCTACAATTTTTTGAAGACATTCTCTATTGAAGTTTTTGTGATCCTGGGTTTTTGCACCAATACTTGTAAGATATTGTCATCTGTGTCAATATAAGCACTTATGGGGAAAGTAGCTTATCAAACATCCCCACTTCAATAAGTGCTTAAAAACATAATAAGTGATTTGAAAAGTGGGTTACCAAATAGTCTTAAGTGGTTGTTAAAATAAGTACTTCTAAGAAATACTCGTGTAACAAGTACTTCTTTTAACAAATACTTAATCATCAAACAGGGCCTAAATGATGTGAAGTAATAATTGAAATTACATTTTCAACCCTTGAAAATATAAATGGACTAGAAACACAAATATGGGCATTTTGGTAGCCATCAAAGTTGGCATTAAAGCTGTAATAAAATGACTTTTATACCATTTCTCAAATAAATAATGGTAGTTTTAGTTCGAAAAAACTTTCACTCTACATCTGCACTTTTATATAGTATTGATACAAATATAGTGGATTTCCCTGGAAAAATTAATGGGAAAGTTGGGCTTTAGGAATAGATGGATAGGTTGGATTATGGAATGCATTTCTAGTGGGACAAGAGAGCTTTTGGCCGGAAGGTAAATCTTTCTAAATCTAGGTTGTTTTTTAGTAACAACTAGAGGTGAGCATTCGGTTTTTTTGGTTCAAAATCGAATCGAAAAAACCAAAATTTTCAAAACTGATTTAATAAAATGGCAAACCGAACCGAAACTGAAACATATAAAAACTTATTAAAATGAACTGATTTTTTTTTTCAGTTATTTCGGTTAAAACCGAAATTCAGTCAAACATAGAGAAGAAGAAGAAGAAGAAGAAGAAGAAGAAGCCCTCAACGGCAGCTGACAACGACAAAGAAGATGCAGCAACAGCCGATAGACGTGGCACTTGATGGTTGATACTCAACAGGACAGGGAAGCCTCAAGGGGTTGAAACTGCAACATGCCGAGGATCGGTTCCACCGTTTTGGGATGGAAGGATCGAGAGCCACAAGGCGGTTCCAAGATGGACGGGCAGTTCCTATCTTTTGCTGGGGAGATTGGGAGAAGGGAGCAAAAGGAGAGAAGAAGATGAAGTGACAATTGATGAACTAATTGTGATTGAAGAGGGGTTTGGTTATAACTTTCAAATTAATGCGGGACCTACATTGAGTGGGTTTATTTTGTTTTGAGAAACTTTTTTGGATAGGTTGCCAAATGACATTAATTGCATGAAACTTTATTGGGGAGGTTATTGAATGACATTAATTGCATAACAGATTGGCAGATTCAAATGACAAGTTCAAATGATGCATTAATTGTCGAATGGAATTAATTAGAACCCAGAAATCAGAATCCCTTAAATGATAGATTTAAATGACTTAAATAACCCTAATTAAATCGGTTTTTTTCTAGTTAACCGATTTATCAATTATGATAACCGAAGCCGAAATACAAAATAATCAAACCCGACCAAAAAACTGATTAGACCGAACCGATTAAGCCAAAACCAAAATTTTGGTTCGGTTTTTCGGTTTTAACCGAATTATGCTCACCCCTAGTAAGAACTTTCATACAAAATTGCAAAAGCTAATGGCTAGAAGCCTAAGCATCAAAAGAGTGGAGAAGCCAACAGTTTATTTAGGCCTTCTTATGGCTATTGAATATTACCAAAAAAAAAAAGCTATTGAGACAAGCAAATGAATTTTTTTTCCTACTTGTTGGGGAGAATTGAATCAAATACCTCAAATTGGCATGAGTTACACTTCTTGAAATCTGTAGTGGCAAGCATCTCGGGATATGCCATGTCATGCTCTCTCCTTTCCAAATCAGGTGTGTGATGGGACGGCTAAAGCCCAAATAAAGTTATGGTGGGATAGTCAAGGCAACACTAGGAAAGTGAACTGGTTAAAATGGGAAGTCCTAAGTAGAAATAATAATGATGGAGGATTGGGCTTTAGAGATCCAGAGTGTTTTTACAAAGCTATTTTGGMCAAGCATGCTTTGAAACTCTATATAGAAGAAAATAGTCTTTGGAGTAGAGTGATTAAGGCAAAATACCTAAAAAATGGAAGATTTCCTCAATGATAACTTACAAAACAAGGGTTATTGGGGCTGGCAAAGACTACTAGCAGGAAGAGAGGTGTTGAAAGAAGGGACCTGTTGGAAGGTTAACTTGGGAGAGAATATAAAATTTGGAGGGATTCTTGGGTCAAGGATCTTATAGATCAACACAATAAAAGCTATAATCTATAAATGATTAGAGCAATTTTTTTCCAAAGAAATTAAAAATCAAATCACTAAAATTAATCTAGCTAACAAGAACTGGGAAGATAGATTAATTTGGAAAGGGAATTCCTTTGGAATATTCACAGTTAAATCAGCCTATTTCATTGCATTTTATTCAAAAAGCTAATGCCAAAAGAAGCATGGAAACTTTCCCACCCCCTAACTTACAAAGAGGTAATTTTTTGAAAGAAATTTGGAAAACAAGAATAGACCCAAAAAT